TAATATACTTACATGCATATGAACTAGAGGTAAGAATAGCTTGATACACATAAAATATATTCATTAATTAATAAATTCTTAATATTTCATAAGAAAAGAGTGAGACAGTGAACATTCAATTAAAAAGAATGGAAAAAACATATCAATTTAACTTATCAAGCATGTTTTTAACGAACTAATACACATGCCCGCGCATCGCGCGGGCTACATTCCTAGTTATATATCATTATCATATAACTTCGATGCTATATATATAGCATTTCAAAAATTTTCACTCCTCTTATTAACCGTCACATTTTTTTTCAATTAATTTCATCTATTTTTCTAATACATGTATCCAACTCTAAAATGTTTATATTCTTATTTTGGTACAGCGAGTACTCTTTTTGGCTGCTCAAACGGTTGCAGCCAAAATTTGAATTTTCAATCTCAAATTTGAAGCTAATTTTGAGGGTTTTTTTGTCGAAGTTTATTTTTCTATATTTACTTTTAGATCGCTAAAAATACGTACATAAAAGTTTTATTCACAAATTACTTTTCGTTTGGCTCTGAAAAATAGCTCAATTGCAAATCGATACAGAAATTCTGCGGTTTTTCCGACCACGTTCCAACCAAACAGAGGTGATGGTAATTTAAGTTTCAATTGTGGACGGCTTCTATTGGTCGGTGATTGTACATAATTTAATTGACGTGTTGAAACCTTCTAGAGGTCCTGTACTTCCAGCAAAATTCCTACAGATTTCTCTTTCCACACATGCTCAGAAAACACTGTAAACGAGCCAGCAGGTACCTACCTACTGACAGAACTTAACACTAATTCTATACACCAGAAGGATATATTATGGCGAGTTTAATTTCAGAGTAAATTTTATAAAACTATAGATATTTTGATAAAATTATTATCGATGTATCACAAAATTTAGCATTAAGTTTTTCATGGAATTGTAGATTGAACATGGAGTTTCACATGACTTAGATTGAATAGCAAATTTATCACAACACTACAGATTTACTATCAATTTAATCACAAAACCATGTTTATAGCTGCAACATATAGTAGTAGCGCAAGGGATTTAATATATAAGATATGTAGTTTCATGATAACTTTAATACTAAATCTCTAGTTTACTATTAATTTAGTCTAATCCTTCTTCATGGGAAACTGCGCGAGAGGAATTCAATTGATTGACCAACAATTTTTCACACATAGATTCAATGACATGCCATCCAAACATTCATTTTATTTGAGACCCTGCATACAATATGTATATTGACCGAACAATTAATGAATGAACATAATATGAACAAATCGAACACACATCGACGCATAAAAAATGTACATATATACTAATGAACCGCCTGAAGACTCATGAACACTGACATTTTTTCATGCTTACTATCCTATTTGAATAAAGTATGAATTTTCATATTTTTTTTCTTCAACAAGCATTGCCAAATTAATCAATTCGATCAGTTCAATTCAGCCGTTGAGTGACGGGAACTTCTTCATCCTAATGCTCTTGCCTAAGAAGAAAAAAACACATATTATGACAAGCCGAGACAGGGGATTAGCCAAACTAATTAATAACGATTTCACATGAATCTATAAGTCTAAATTAGGTGCTGTTCTGTGCTCCACCACCTCCCTGTTGGCCGTGGTTGCTGCCCATGCTGTTAATGTAGTACTGATGATCTGAGTTTTGCTGCTCCGGCATCCTGCCAGTCGAAGTACCCTTGGATGAAACTTTTGATGAAACTTTTTGATGAAACTTTTGCTCCTGTTGCTAGAATTGAGGCAATTAGACTTTTGTTGGCTTTTGCTGCTTCAAAAGGTTTTAAATTGTATCAAATGGATGTGAAAAGTGATTTTCTAAATGGTTTTATACAGGAGGAAGTTTATGTCAAACAACCACCAGGTTTTGAAAATCCTGATTTTTCCAACCATGTTTTTAAATTGTCTAAAGCTTTGTATGGTTTGAAACAAGCTCCTGGGCATGGTATGATAGGCTTAAAAACTTTTTGCTTGCGAAAGGTTTTACAATGGGAAAGGTTGACAAAACGCTTTTTGTTCTTAAGCATGGTGATAATCAACTTTTCGTTCAGATTTATGTGGATGATATCATCTTTGGTTGTTCGACTCACGCTGTGGTTGTAGATTTTGCTGAGACTATGCGCAGGGAATTTGAGATGAGCATGATGGGTGAGTTATCGTACTTTTTGGGATTGCAAATTAAGCAAACACCTCAAGGTACTTTTGTGCATCAAACGAAGTATACGAAGGATCTTTTGAGACGGTTCAAGATGGAGAATTGCAAGCCAATTTCAACACCAATTGGTTCTACAGCTGTGTTGGATCCTGATGAAGATGATGAAGCTGTTGATCAAAAGGAGTATAGAAGTATGATTGAATCTTTATTGTATCTAACTGCTTCTAGGCCAGACATACAGTTTGCTGTGTGTTTGTGTGCACGCTTTCAAGCTTCTCCTCGTGCTTCACATCGTCAAGCGGTCAAGCGGATAATGAGGTATTTCAATCATACAGTTGAGTTTGGAATCTGGTATTCTACTTCATCTTCTATATGCCTAAGTGGATATTCAGATGCTGATTTTGGAGGTTGTAGAATTGATAGGAAAAGTACTAGTGGAACATGTCATTTTCTTGGTACATCATTGATTGCATGGTCTTCTAGGAAACAATCTAGTGTTACTCAATCAACTGCTGAATCTGAGTATGTTGCTGCTGCTAGTTGTTGTTCACAGATTCTTTGGCTTTTATCTACTTTGAAAGATTATGGTCTTACTTTTGAGAAAGTACCTCTCTTTTGTGATAATACTAGTGCTATTAATATTGCTAAGAATCCTGTTCAACACTCACGCACAAAGCACATTGATATTCGTTTTCACTTTTTGAGGGATCATGTTGAGAAAGGAGATGTTGAGTTGCAGTTTTTGGACACAAAGTTGCAAATTGCTGATATTTTCACTAAACCTTTGGATTCTAATCGCTTTGCTTTTCTCCGTGGTGAATTGGGTGTAATTCATCCTTTTGGCATGGTTTGAGGGGGAGTTTGTACCTCATGGTTTTATCAAGCAATAATATGACAATGAAAAAATTGAGAAAAGAGCGCTTTGTTTATGCATATGGTATTTTCTTGTGCATGCTAGCAATACTTTGAAGGTTTATTTGTCTCTAGCATAGCTTGTATGTATTCTAGTCTTTTCATGAGATTTAGATTTTGCTTTTAAGGAAGATGATGCATGACACTTAAATTCTATACTTGAATTAAGAAAATATGCAATGTTGATGCTAGCATATGGTTTGATCTATAAATGCTCTATATATATGCTTTATTGACTTGTTATTCCTCAAATGGCTTTAATTGCTCATTGTGAAAAAGAGAATAAAAAATATGAAAAAAATGAATACCGAATCCTTGTAAACAGTCTTGACGACAAGGACGTATTCGATGTGAGCAAAATAATGGGTGCCGAATCCCTGGAAACAGTCTTGACGACAAGGACGTACCCGGAATAAAAGAGAAAAATATGAGCAAAAAGGCTCAAGAAAAGAAAAAGTTAAAAAAATTCTCTTGGTTATTTTGTGCTAAAGGTTATTTGAGAAAGAGTAATAAATGCAATAGGTATATGTGTTTAGTGTTTATTCTTCAACCTATGTGCTTGTTAAGATGTTGCATTATAAATCGTATGAAATCATGAATTTTGATTGTTGATTCAAGCTTAAATGTAAAATCTTTGGTTCATGGTTATACTTTAATGCATGCTTGTTATGTTTTAGATGGGTTCATCTTCTTTTTATTGCAATACATGACATGATATGCTATATGTATGCTAAGCTCTTGAACATTAATGAACATAATTCCTATGCTTGATGAAATCATTGTCAAAAGGGGGAGAAATAATGTGAAAATTTTTTATTTTTGGAGAAGCAAAGTGAATTTTTGGAGAGATGCTGAGAAGAGCATGTTTTTGGTTCAAATGGGAATTTCATTCTTTTAAAAAGGGGGAGAAGTTTTCTTTTGGATTTTTGAGCACGATGTGTACATTTGTACGAAGTGTGCTTTTTACCACCAAATACCAAAATATTTTTTGTGAGTTTGCCAATGTGTTCCTCAAGGGGGAGATTGTAAAATCAAAGGTGTTTTTTATTATTATTCTGTGATGAACAATTGGGCATTAGAGATTATTGGTTTTGTTATTTGGAATTTATTTACGAAGTGGTTTTGGAGATGATTGGATTTACAAATGAATCTGCAGGATTTATCATTTTATGTGGACCGGTCAGACCGGGCTCTGGTAGCCGGTCAGACCGGCGTGTAATGCGCGGTCATACCAGCGCAGCCCGCGGTCTGACCGGCCGACACCGTGTCGGTTTCGGTTTCGGGTTGTTTATTTGGATATCCGAGTTTATTCCATGATTATGACTTATAGATGGATACTATACGTATGTAATAATATTGTTTGCTGCTAATGAGTCAAGTTGGAGATAGCTTGGTCTCGGAATATGGTTTCTTTGTTTGTTCCATGTGTAGGTGACTCGATGTCTCGGGAGAGTATTTGCGGTGATGGACCGGGAGTCGGCTTGGGGATAAGACGACGTCCGTGGTGGTCAGAGATCATGCGGGATACTAAGACTAGAGTTGATGCACGTGGTTGATGGAGTTTCCATATGGCATACGATGGAGTTATTGTGTGCGTATGGGATGCGGAGTCGAATTTGGAAGGAGTCCAAATTTGGTACGTTTGGTGATGAAAAGTTTCTTTCTTGTACTAGTGGGTTTCCTAAGGTGTTTAGGATTCCTAGTATGAGTTTGGTTCGTGGCTTTAGGCTGCCTACCTCATGTATAAATAGAGGGGGAGCGTGAGGCTTCCCGGTATCGCTTTAGAGAGCAATTGAGTTGAGTTTTGAGTTAGGGTTTCGAGTTTAGTCGAAATTTTTGTAAGGAGTGCTGTTGGTGCACTTTGTAAACACAGAGAGAAGTAATAAAGTCGTCATCCACTTTAAGAGTTCTTCGATTTGTGTTTCACCGGGTTTCGGCGGTCTAACCGGCGGCGCACCGGCGGTCAGACCGGCGGCATCGCGACGGTCCAACCGGCGGGCACACGGCGGTCAGACCGGTGGCGACAGGAGTCGACGACAGGCGTTCTCGACGGTTCGACCGATCGATCTACTTCGGTCAGACCGACGTTCATCAGCGGTCAGACCGGCGCAACTACTTCGGTCAGACCGCGATCCATCGATTTTGAGGGTAACTTTTATTTCCGCTAAAAGTTTTCGGTTTTTGGGTATACTAACCATTCACCCCCCTCTGGTTGGCTTAGTTCTTGTGATTTGATTCTACAGGATGATCCTGCACAAAATTAACAGCGCGTAAAAAACCATATGATATGTAGAATTACAGGGTGTAATAATATAATGTACTGCTTTTATCAGCAAACTAACTACCATTGTAATACGATGAAGCCGTTGATTGGCCGTTGTTTTCTTTGTAGGAGTTGCCGTGGTTTGTTGTTCCATGTTGTTTCGGCTTGGAGTTCGAATGCCCTGCATGAGTGGATTCATTCAGTTAGAGAGCTAGTTTATTCATGACAATAGCTATATATAATAAATAAAGTACAATATTGTTAATTTGATCAAGATTTTGAGTAACTAGTCACCTTTTGAGTAGTAGTACGTCCATTTTGATCTTCTCAGGTGTTGTGCAACCGTTTCCTTCTGATCGAGATGCTTGAAAATGCTTGATCGAAGGGGGTTATTGTTGAGAGCACGTACATTTGTTGAGTTTATATAGGATCGATCTCATGCCTAAGACAATCAAAATCCTGGGAACATTCACTGACAATGCACCTTATTTACAGTCGTTTTGGCCTCCTACTTCTATAGTTATTGACAATATTGCTGATCTCATGAAGCAACCTCCTGTTTCCATGAATATGCATGCGCCATATGGCCGAGAGTACTACGTTCTCAGAAATTTTCAAGTTTGCCGGGGAACGTTTACATTGGTCACATGGGTACTCCTACTCTTTTGACATGTTTTAATTTTTTTCAATACCATGCTCTTTAGACGGTTTCAGCCAGCAAAAGAAAATTTCAACGCAAATCGCGATACAACGCTGCTCGAGCTAATTCTACAGTTTTTCCCGCCATGTTCCAGCCGAACATGCGATGCTAAGTTAAGTTTAAATCATGCATGCATGGACGGTTAGTTTCCGTGTTGATCGGTGGTTTCGATATAATTTATTTATAACTAGGAAGGTAGCTCGCGCATTCGCGTGGGCATGTATGGATTCGTATTTTTTAAAAAACTTACAGTGACAGAATGTATATCAACTGGATGACACCTATCACACTTTAAAAGTACTATTTCTCTATAAATTTTCTTCAACGGTGTTGCTTGGATAATTGTTTCAACCTATCTGTTAGCTTTAAACTATACAATATTTAATTTATACCGGTAAGAAATCAATTATAATCTTTTTCATTATCTTGAAAGGAGATTGACTTAATTAGTTTAAAACAAATGTCGAACAAATTAAGTGTATATTAAAAATAAGGTGCTCTATTTTTAAACAACTCCTAGAAAATTATTATTACTAATAAATTTGTTTTATTTGTGCCATCAAGTTACCCCTCCTTCTAATTGGTTCATACATGCTCACACAATTTGTTATATACTTACATATATATTTGAATAAAGAGGAGTGATCTAAATATCTTGTTTCCTTATGATATATGTGATCTATAGTATTTATTTAAATACGTATTCAACATAAGTCCTAAAGTTTAAATGTTGTAATAGCAAATATAAATTTTGAACCAACTACTTGCTTTCATTGTGCGGATTATATACCGCGGCGCTAGGTTATTTTAATCTCAATTAAGTTGGGTGGCTATAAATATTGGACCCACTGATTTAAGTAAAAATTGAGGGATGGATTTTATTAGCGTCACATGGTAGCATGAGGGCGTTCGAAGGATTGGCATGTGGCAGCGTGAGAGCGTTTTAAGAAAGTTTAATGGACTTGTAGTATTCAACCATTAATATAAAACAAAATTATTAAATTATCTAATATTATTAAATTATTAAATTATGGTCCTTCATCCAATAATTCAATAATATAATCCGGGTTACCAAATTTTGTAATATTTATTAAGAGAAAGCGGGCTAATCTAATGGTGTAACATATTGCGTGTTTTTATAGTATAGAAAATCTTATTTTAAAATGACGGTCTAATTTTTCTACTGATGTGCATACATATTTTAAGGGTGTTATAGTTTTTTTACTCGTGCATACGTACGTATGTTTTTATTGTTTTTTAGTAAACAGTATCTAAAGGTTTTTTTTATAGTTTTTCTTCTCGTACTTACATACGTGTGTTTGGTTTTTAAGTGAACAGTACGTTATCTTTTTTTCATCATAAGTACTTACGCTAGTTTTTACTCATATGCACGTGATACTAAGAGGAAGGAAATAGATCTAATCTAACTGTCTAAAATTATGGGTCCACCAATTTAAATGAAAATCAACGGTGAGATTATAAAATGCCATGTGGCGACTTAAGAGCGTTTCTAGGAACGCCACATGGCGGTTTAGGAGCGTTTATAGGAAGATTAATGGACTTTTAGTATATAATAGATAGAAGATAGATGTTCAAACCTTACTGAATACTCATGGACATTTCCCGTGGAAGTCATCAGAATACTTCGTAAATCTACCACATACTCCCTCCGTACTTGTAAAGAAAGTCGTTTAGGACACCGACACGGTCTCCAAAACACAACTTGGACTTCTTATTTCTATAAAAATATTTATTAAAAAGTGGTATATGTATACTTTTATGAAAGTATTTTTTCAAAAAAAATCTATTAATATAATTTTTATATTATTAAACTCAACAACTAGAGAGTTATTCATGATTTATATTTTCAAGGTTTGACTTAAACATTGTCCTAGACGACTTCGTACGGAGGGAGTATATAGTAACCGAATTGGAAGCAAATTTAAGTAATCAATGAAGGGATACGAACTTGCATGTATTTTTTCCCTGCAGTTTCTACTGCCATTAGACCAGATAGTGTCGGCAAGAAAAAAAAAACAGAGAGGTTAGCCTAAAACGTAGGTAATTCTGCACGGTGACCAACTCTTTCTGTTTCATATCTGCGATTTAATTTGACACAATTTCCTGGACATTAATTTCTCGTGGAATTTAGATGTCAAGATACTTTGAATAAACACCCCCCGCAAAAAAAAAAAAAAAAAAACTTTGAGTAAACACAACTACTAGCCCCATTCCAAACTCCACGTTAACTAAGCATATTAGCGGCAGACAATAAGCGTACTAATGATAAAAAAAATGATATTTTATAGTTGTATTTTAGAACTCAACCTCAAATAAATGAACAGCTACATTATTATTACACGTAAATTTCCATCGGGTTTCCGTTGTGAAATCGCTTCGTAGTAATAATATTAACTTCCACGTCTAGACCGAGATTAATTAACTCCCTGGCACATGTGTTGCAACAGCGCATCTAACGATGGAATACTCCATGGTCAGATAATATTCTACTAAAAGAAAAACTAATACTCTCTCCTTTTTTCTATCTTTGACACCGTTCATCTTTTTAACCTCTGTTTTTAACATTCATCCTATTAAAAAAAATTTCTGTGGTGTAATTTGTATCGCTACAAATAATTTAAGAATGGCATATTTTATATATTTATATAAATATTTTAATAAGACAAACGGTCCAAATGTATTTTTAAAATCAATGGCATAAGAAATGGAGGGATGAAATCGGTTGTGGTTGGGAACAAATTCCTCCATTACCACGTGCTTTTTTAAGTATTACCTATTTTTTTAAAAAAATATGGATCGATATGATTTTTTAAGTCAACTTTCATATTTTTTTTAAAAAACACACTATTTAATAATTTAAAAAGTATACGCGTGTAAAACGAGAGAGGTGAGTCGGGAAAGTCAAAGTGTACGTCGAACACATGTACGTCTACCGGAGATGGATAGTGTCAGTCTTTTTTCCTTAGTTTCGGAAACATGAAAAAATTTAGTTTTTTTTTCTCCGGAGACATAAACAAGTCTCCAACTTTACGCTCACGTCTCACTACTAGGCATTTTTCCCGATGTGGGGGTCTTTTTTTCGCAGGCGGACATGACCCTTAGAGCCAAATGACCGCTGGGTGAAGTTCGCTGTCCGTTCGCAGGCGGACCACTTAAACGGCGCTTGCGAAAATCTATTTTCACACGCGAACCTTATGTGGTCCGCTTGCAAAAATCCTACATAACGAAGTAAAATCTAGTCATCCTTATCCTCTCCTCCACCACTCATTCCGTCCTCTCTGTCTCTCTCTTCCCTTCCATCCCCTTCCTTCCTCCCTCCCTTCCTTCCTTCTCTGCTCCCTCCCCTCCCCTCCCCTCCCCTTCCTTCCTTCCTACAATGGAGGGAGGCGGCGGGGGTGGAGGGGGCCGGCGGAGGCATGGACGAAGGGGTTCGACGGCGGCGCGGGTGGAGGGGGCCGTTGGCGGCGCGGGGCGGAGGGCGTCGGTGATGGCGCCTACGAGCGACAACGACGACTACCGCGCCACGACGACGACTACCGCCGGCCACGTCGCTTCCCCTCTCCGCGACCCCTCCTCTCCCAGATCCGGCGGCGCCTCAGCGGGGAGGGCCGGTGGCGGCAGCGGTTCGGCGGGGAGGTCCGGTGGCAGCTCGGCGAGGCTCGGCGACGAGGGTCAGCGCTGAAGAGGAGGTCAGACGGAGGCGGCTCAGCGAGGTAAGGAGGGCCGGAGGTGGCTGCTTGGCGATGAGGGACGACGCCGACGATGAGGGCCAGCTAAAAACGACACCTATAGTGCTTTTCCCACTTCAAAAGATGGAAAAAAAGGGACCTTTAATATACTATTGATGTCGGTTCTATAGAAAAACCGACAGCTATACTATAGGTGCCAGTTTTTTTCTAAAAAATAGCACCTTTAATGTACTATAGGTTTCGGTTAGTTAAAAACCGACATCTGCAGTATATTAAAGGTGCCGCTTTTTTTATAGAAAAACGACACCCTACCAAACAAGCCGAGCCGAGCTGAGAGACAGCCGCTTTTTTTTATTTTATCGGCCTTATCCACTCGCTGAGTGGGAGTTGAGGGGGCAACCTTATCCACTCGGCCCGCCCCCTCTCCTCCTCTCACCCGTGAGTTGTCTCTCAGCAGCGGGCGATGGCGGGCGGAGCCCTCCCCTCTGCCAAATCTGGCCTGGAAGGGAGCCCGACGACTGCAGGAGGGGCTGCGACGGCCCGGTAGCGGTCTCCCCACCCAGCGGCGGTGGTGCCTTGACAGCGGAGGCGGTGGCGGCGCCTCCCATCCACTAGATCTGGCTAGGAGGGGACTTGGCGATGGCCCGGCGACGGCGACCCGCCAGCGGAAGCGGTGCCGGTGCCGGGATGTTCATGTTTGTTTATGTGTTCATCTTGTATTAATGTATGTCTTGATGTTCATGTGTGTTCTTATATGTTCATGTTGTACTCTTGTGTACTTGATGTTCATGTGTGTTCTTATATGTTCATCTTTGTGTTCTTGTGTTCGGGTTGAAGGGGGTTGAACAGGAGGGGGAAATTGCTTGAGCCGATGCATCGAGCCGACTTTCTTTTTTTGCTTTCCAGAGATTACAAAGATGCCAGTTCTAGAATCCGGCACCGATGACAGAAGTGGTGCCGATTGGGAAAACCGGTACCTAAGGGGGTTTCCCGACCGGCACCAATTGCAGTTTCTGTAGTAGGGAGTCACTATAGGGTGTATGTTCGTAGAACATGACAAAGTTAATGGCAAATTGTAAACCTGTGACAAACTCAGTGATATATAATCGATTATCTCTATATTTAATACCAAACCATATAGTGTACTTGGTACTATTATTGATATTTAAAATTGAATAATATATTAAAATGATTGTTTTTAATGTAAATAGCTTATTCCTTAATTAAAAAAGAAGTGTTGTCATCAATTATATTTTTTAATTACTAATTTTTTAATTAAATAAGTAATGTCTTTGATGTTTTTGCAAGCACATTCTAATGGGTTTGTTTGATGTTCCAATAAATATTTGTGACTATATTTATTTCGGTTCGTATTTGCTCCGTATCTTTATTGATGATATTCGATTTCCTTTTGGTATCCCTAGTTTCTGTTTCTAGTTCCAATTCCGAAAAAAACTGAAAATATTTTCGAGCCGTTTCTTTGATCCCTAGTCTCGGGGTATACACTTGAACAAACAAATTTTATTGAACAAACAAATTTACATTCCTATACGTGTATATACATCGATCCACCTAATTTTGCTGACTTCCTGGAAATCTTGTTACGACGCGTAGCTCCTAGAAATTACACCATTATTTATTCACACGAGCTTATCAGACACGAACAAATTTACATTCGTATATATACACGAGTTTTTTACAGTAGGGTTGAGTATGTGCAGCCTCTGGCATCGTTCATGGATAGCAACAAATTGTCAGTACTCCTTGGTGGTTTGCTGGCTACTCGCGCTCTCCTGCGAAAATGTAAAGTTAGTTCTGGATTGAAAAGCTCAACAAGGTCACGGATAACTAATATAAAAGGATAGATATATATGATTTCTTGTATATATATTAGGTTAATTACCTTTCACTTTTCCCTTGTCTGCCTGACCAATTGACGTTGTGTAAATGTAATGAGACATGCTCTGTGCTAGCCCTCCTGTGAAGCTCGCTGCTGGGACTGGGTGAGAAGTGCCTGTAGCTACAACACCACGAAATTAAACGCAGCATCAGTCACCTACCTAGCTCATCTCTTTGCTACTAGCTACCTAATTCATTAATTATTTTTTTCAATACTAACATTTTGGATATATATTTAATTACATATAGTTTTCAAGTACATATGCATACGTTTGATGAGCTATGTTTACATTTTAAGATAGAAATAAAAATAAATCAAGCAGCAATTGAATTAATTTACACGGTATACTTATAGAAGAGGCAAATAATTAAAATCAACTGTTTGATCAACCAATCCAATGATAAGCTAGCGCTAACCTATAGGGTCGTCCCCTCCCTGATTAGTGCCCGTGGACGCTCCAGAGGAGCTACCTCCACCCTGGGTAGGCACAGGCTTTCTAGTTCCTGCAAGAATAATTAATGCCATGAATAGTTTAATTAGCTACTAATATATAGCAGCTTTTATATATGAATTTAGACACACATGCAGTTATCTAGATTGAAAGCTAGAAATTCTTATATTTTGGAATGAAGGGGAGTACGAAAGTAATACTACCCGTCTTAATATAGTGTTTTTTACCATATTTTAAGACGGAGAAAGTATCTCAACTGCACATGTCTCAGAACACAAGTTTCAAAGATCATACCCGTAGAGCTGGCCATTGCTCCTACTTTTGCAAGGATCTTATTCCTAGGAAAAACATCGAAATTAAATTGTTGAGTGTTTGTGATAGATTATTTTGGCTTGTGTATGTGCTGCTTATATAGATTATCAGTAGCCTTAGGACTACTGTAATTACGATCATTGTGATGGGAAAGTGCAATGGAGTAGTCATGGAAGCTGCAAATTACTTTGACATTGAGGGCCACTTTGATTCGGAGGAAAAACATAGGAATTTTAGAGAATTTTAATCCTATAGGAAAATTTCTTATGAAGCCCTTTGAAACAAAGGATTGGATCCTATCCTATGAAATTCCTATAGAATGTACAATCCTATAGAGATTTTGGAGAAAATTTAGCAAGAGTTTCAACCTTTTGGTAACTTTCCTTTGAGTCTCACTCTCATCCAATTCATGCGTTTTCCTGCGGTTCAACATTCCTGTGTTTTTCCCGTGTTTTGCAATCCTCTGTTTTACACTTACATTCCTATTAAAATTCTACGTTTTTCCTATTCCTACGTTTTCAATCATGCGATTCAAAAAGACCCTAAATTTTTGTTTCAGAAAAACAGACCTGAACGTAAGTTATCCAATTTTACCGTTAGTTTTAAGGCAGGACACATAATTGTGTCTTAATATCCCTAGAGCCAAGAAGGAAATTCCTAGGCACGACGGGAGATATATTTCTCCCAGTCAATGTAGAATTGCCGAGTGTTGGATACTGCACACGCAAATTAACTGATCAAGGTTCGTTTTACTGTACAATCTATATAGTCCTAAAATATAACAAATATTCCTACCATTCAAAATTTATCATAATAAGTAATTTCTCAACCTATATTATCTTCTTAACTAGTCACACAACATTTTCCATTTAAGTTCTATACATACTTACTCTTTTTAACCAATTATAACGTTCCCTCGTTTAACGACACACCAGCTGATTCTTTAATCTTCATGCATGTCCACCTCAAAAGTTTTTATATTTTGGATGTGACATGGTAGTAATTAATGCAAGCCAGTAGTACTACTATCTCTGTCATAGAATAATTATATTTCTTTCAATCAAATTTATTAAAAAACATTATATTTGTAAAACTCAGCTAATTCTAGCTTACCATAAAGTTGATGCCCACTAAATACTAAGGCTTAACATGCAGGTGTGCCACATCATCACCACTAGTAATTATTATTTCGAGTACTTTAAATATTATTATGTAAATATAACATATCATTTACAATTTTGTTGTATTTTTAGAACTCAATATGCAAGCTAGTAATGTTAAATCGTTATCTCCACATCATTTTCACATTATTTAAACATATACATCTATCATTTCTATAAGTATAACTTGCATTTATCCGTACATCCCGCAGCAAATCTTGGGATATAAACTAGTTAATTAGATAGAGATATCCTACCTTATACCCTCCCATCTTTCTATCCCCATCTACCTAAAGCTGTCTTTATTCTATACATGTATGGTTATTTTGGTCGTTTACATGTACTGGGAATATATCTGTTGTTTTAGAAATACAATTATTTTAGGATGTAATATAAAATAGTACTATCCCTCCCTCCCAAAAATACGTTTTACTCTGGGATTTAAAATTTGCTAAATAATTATCCCACACTACCCACCACAACTGAACCACCTAAGAAAGTGAGCAAGCGTACTAAGGTGCCAAAACTCGACGGCACAATAAAGATCGTTCCACTGACTAGCAGTAACCCCGACAGGACCATCAAGATCGGGGCGATGCTGCGCTGTAAATAGGAACTTGAGCTCATCACCTTCCTCCGCGACAATGCAAACGTGTTCGCTTGACAGCCGTCAGACATGCCAGGAGTCCCCTAGGAGGTGATCGAGCACAAACTTATGGTGCGACCCGATGCCAAGCCAGTTAAACAAAAACTGTGGAGATTTGCACCTGATTGAAAACAAGCCATACGAGAAGAGCTTGACAAGCTCCTCAAAGCCGGCTTCATCAGAGAGGTTCTTCATCCAGAATGACTGGCCAACCCAGTCATGCATGGTTTGCAAGGCCAATCGGAAGTAGAATGTGCGTAGATTTCACCGACCTCAACCAGGCGTGCCCCAAGGATCACTTCCCTCTTCCTCGAATAGACCAATTGGTGGATTCAATGGCCGGTTGCGAGTTGTTGAGTTTTTTCAACGCTTATTCCGGCTACCATCAAATCAGCATGGCCAAAGAGGATGAGGAGAAGACAACATTCATCACGCACTTTGGTGTTTTCTGCTACACCAAGATGCCCTTAGGGTTGATTAGCACAGGCAACACGTATCAGTGCGAGATCCAAGGAGCTCTCGGT